AAAAAAAAAAAAAAAAAAAGAAAATCTTAAGGACTATATTGTGTCAGAAAGGTAACATTTTTAGAACTCTTAAAAGTTTTTTGCCAAAATCCAGTCCTCTATGGTTTAGAGGTTCATATGTATGATTAAAATCTGGAGGTATCCTGCGTGCCCTGCCCTCACCTCTGCTCTGGAGACTAGAGGGCTCGTCAATTCCCTTCCCTCTGTGTGGACAACACATGTGGAGCAAATGTTGTAGAGACTTTCTGTCACTGAAAAGTTCAGTCCACATTACGTAAATGAAGAGGATGAGGAAAAGAAGGGTGCCAACACGCCTGTGGTTGTCGCAGACCCCCGAGGCGCGTAAGCTTAGCCAGAGACTGTTGACGTGGGTGCTGTTCTAACCCGCACCGACCCAGAATCGGTGTTATAGAAACGTCATATGCATGTTGGTGTCTTGGTCCTGAATGACATTTTAAAACAATAGCAGAACTCAAGCAAGGGAAGCCCTTTGCAGTTATGACCCGGTCACTGGTGGCCACACTGGTCCAGCCTGTGCCAGGTGCTTCCTGTGACTGCTGATCTACCCAGTGACCCCTGAGGGGCTACTGTCCTGGCCTGTTCTGGGCGAGGATGCTGGTGCTGAGCACCTGGCTCTCCCCCGCAGCTGCCTTTCCTTCCCAGCTGCAGCTATGGTAGTTGCCTCTTACAAATGTCACCTGCCAGGACTCTCCTCAGTCACCATGACACAGAAAACCTGCAGGAACCAGCCAGGCACCCACAGCTGGGCATCATGGAAGTGCGACACACCCCACGGGACAGCTTGGCCGGCACGGCGTCAGGTCTATGCACATGTGCACCCCTCTTCCGTGGACTCGGGGATGGAGCCTGTGCTGTGCTGTGGTGATGCTTTGAGAAGGCCCCTTGGTCGGCTTTCATTCCGTCCTGTCTCACTCTCCCCTGACCCCACGTCCCTTCCCTAAGACCATGGCCATTTGAGCCACTTGCACACCAGCCCTCATCCCAGGCTCTACTCTGGGGACAGTCCACAGCAGGGTCTCAATAAAGGGCACAGTGAGGCTTAAGACAGCAATCACGCATTCCAAGTTATCTGCTGGGAAACTGCATTTTTTCCTACTTTTTGGAAACTATTCTATATATGTTAGTAGTACACCTATAACTTTTATGCAAGCCCAAAGTAGAAAAAGACATACATAGGTAACTTTGTAGTCATAGTTACGTAGTGAAATGTCTGTCCCATGTAGGTACAAACAGGTGACCTCCATGATTACAAGGTTTTTTTTCTATGTGCCAACGACATGATAGAGGAAATAGTGGCCACAACTGGAACTGGAGGTGGAGTAAGAAGAAGGCCCCTCCTCAGCCTCACCTATGTCCTCAGCCTCACGAAGCCTCTCTACTTGATCTCTCACACCTTGGTTCCTATCACCCTTGAGCAAAGCACACTCACATGCACATTCTGGTCTAGCACACCCCGCTCCCCAGATCTAGGACCTGGAAGCAAATGTTTTGCTCCAGGTTTTGCTGTACGTTTCTGTATGGATTTTTTTTTTTTTTTTTTT